ACCATCACCACCATCACCACCATCACCATCATCACCATCACCATCATCACCACCATCACCACCATCACCATCACCATCACCATCACCATCACCATCATCACCACCATCACACCATCATCGCCATCACTGTCGTCATCGTTGTCATCAGTATCATCAGAAGCAACCCTAGTACCTTCATGGTCTTAAAGTAAAGCTTGTTCTTCCTTGCATTTGTCAGTGTTGCCCAGTACAGTGGTCCATTATTCTTTAGGGCATTTCCTGAGGTGTATTTAAAGCCTTGTTGACCCAAACCATCTTACTTTCTCTTCTCTCTCAGAGTCTAGCTCTCCAGGGACCGTTAGGATATATTTGAGGGGAAGAGAGTGGGGAATTGATGTCACGTCGTATGTCTGCAGAGGGCTGACCAGCAGCAGTGTAGTGACTGGTCAGTCCATGGGTCCCCAGTTTTGTCTGTTCAAGATGGGAAGGTCTTGTGCTGGGCGGTGGCAGATGAGCTGACCGGTAGGAGAAATGGGGTGTTCGCCCACATGGATTTTTCCCCACGGGGCCAACTGTGCTCATTCGCTTTTGGGGGCAGCAGGGAAAGGGCGAGTGAGAGGGGCTGGGAAGGGGGGACTGGTGCATGGCATGTGGCCCCCGGAAGGTGGCCCTCTCCACCTACCTGCTCCCAGGAAGTGGCCACAGGGTCTCCTGCAAATTCTCAGCCAGTTTCTGTACGGAAAGTGAGCCGCGTCCCTGCATCACCTGCTTTGCCTTTCATTGAAAGCCTGTGCTCGTGTTCCCGTGCCACTGAACGCGCTCCGTGTCATGCTCCTTCTGCAAGAGAATAAAACAGCAGCACAAAACAAAGCCAAGCACTGCTTCACTGTGTCTCTGTTGTGTCATTTCTTTGCCACGTGCCTCGCACACCGCTGCTTTGCTGCTTCACACCCGTGGTGGGTATGGGAGGGGCCAGGGTCGCGGTGGGAGTGGGTAGAAAAAGGCATCTTGCTCAGAGTGTCCAGGGCCAGTCGGGCTGATGCCTGTTTGCCCAGAAGAAGGGACTTTCTCAGGCCAGGTAAGTGAAGCAGGACAGTAGCCACCTTCCTAACGTGTCCTGTCATTCATCCTGGAATAAAGCAGGTGCTGGGCGGAGGAGTGGGGTGGAGAGGAAGGGCCAGAATTGGGCGGGGGTGTGTGGCGGGGCTTGGCTGTCCTAAGCTGTATCGTCTTGGTCGAGCTGCATCATCTCCATGAGCCTCTGTTTTTTTATCTGTAAAGTGAGGATTATAGCAGGAGTTGACCGCAAATTCTGAGTGAGTGGGATTTAAGGTAATGAACTGGGGGTGGGTGTGTCCTCGCTTAACTCGATGCCTCTCCATCTCTCTGAATAAAGCCTGGTTCCTAGTTTGGCGTTTTGGCCCAGGACCCCAAGTCCCGTACAAAACCCCCAGGCTATGGGCTGGCAGCGTGGATCAGTAGGAAAAGCAAAGCCTTTGGGGTTACACGGACCTGGAGTCAGAGTCTCATTTGGTCACTGTATTAGTTAGCGATCCCCAAGGGACAAATTAGCACCAACAAGCACCATTTGCCAGCTCATAGGTGGCCAGGTGAGACTGGGCAGGTCTCTCTGTTCGGGGTGCACAGTCAAGGTGTCGCGAGGCTGTGTGTGCTCTCATCTGGAGGCTCTTCCACGTTGTTGGAAGGATTCCGTCTCTTGTCATGGGACTGAGGGCCCCATTTTTTTTGCCAGCTGTCGGCTGAGGGCTGCTCTCAGCTTCCAGAAGCCGCCCAAACTCCTTGCTGCACGCTCCCCACCCTCCATCTTCAAAGCCAACCATGGAGAACTCCTCCCTCGTTGAATTCCTAATCATGCTCCGAGCCTCTCTGACTTCTGTCTCTCTGGCTTCTAGACTCAGATTTGAAGGGATCAGGTGATGAGATCAGGGTCGCCGGGATAATTCCTTTTAGAGTCACCTATGCCGTATGCCATAGCCTGACCTCGGGGATGACTGCCCCGTGACATCCACAGCTCACACCCATCCTGAAGGGCAGGGGCAGGCATCTTGGTGCCACCTTAGAGTTCTGTGTTCCACACTCACTGGTTTGTGATGGGAGCATGGGGACGGTACTGAACCCCTCTGGTCCTCAGTATTCTGGTCTCTAAAATGGGGTGGTAATAGATGCTTTGCGCACCTGGCACATCGTTAAGTGCTTCATAAACTGCAGGGCCGTACACCTGACAGTCATCTCCCAAACCCTTCATCAGGGCCCAGCCATCCCTCTTGCTATTCTCCTTTGCAGACTGTGCCCTGTAGGACACAGGTGTCGGAAGCGCAGTGCACAGCTCCGTGAACTTACTGGGTCTTGCTTACTTGCAAAGCATCTCCTTCTCACAAGCAAAGTTTGTGAGACTTTGCTTTCCCTGAGTGCCCCCCATGAGGTTCTCCTCCAGTGGGTCTGGGGTGGGCCTGGGATCTGCATTTGTAACGGGCACCCTGCGTGATTCTGACCTGCAGCCTGCACTGAGACATCTGACTGGCATGACACACGCAAACTACGGAGCCAGTGAGCCTGGTTTTGCAAAATCTGCTCACCGTTCCCCGCATTCTTGGGGCTTAGCTTCTAGAAGCCTTGGTTTTCTCATCTGTAAAATGGGCATAATAAGAGTTGACTGCCTCACCGAGTGGCTCTGGGAGATAAATGCAATAGTCCACATAAAGTGCTCAGCCCAGAAACTCACATTTGCTAAGTTGTCACTGTATGTTAGCAATAATCACAATGACGATTAGTATAATAACCCAGTGGCCTCGGCTCTGGGCCTCAGCTCTGGTTTGTCGGCCTGTCTGAGCAGTGGAACAGCATCAGTGCCTCCGAGCTGCTGTTTCAGAACCGAGTGTTGCTTGAGCTTCAGGGAGCTGGTGGGAGAGTGGAGACCGCTCTCCCCAGCCCCGGCGGCAAAGCTCCCTGTGGCCCCCTGGCCTTGCTTTTCCTCTCAGGGCTGTTCTCGGATGTGCCCTTCCCTCTTCAGGTCGGGACCAGCACACGCCTCAGAAGCCAGCAGACTCCAGCTCAGCGCCCGGAGCTGCCCTCCTTGGGCCCCAGGGCAGTGCCCAGGCCCCCGGGGGCAGGTGGCTCCCTCTAAGCGGGACATCTGTGTGGCTGTGACAGTTTCAAAGAGGGTTTTTCTTCCCTGGAGGCATTTCTCTCTTGGAGGCAGTGTCGGTCCAGCTGTCCCAGGAGCCCTCTCCCCGCCAGGACCAGCACAGCCCCCAGCTCCATCCACACTGGGCTTTGATGTGGCACATGGCCAGGGCAGGCCTTCGGGGTGACGGGGGGGACACAGAGCAGGCCGAGGGGAGGTGAGAGCAGAGAGCCTTCCTGCCGACGATTCGGGTTCTCGCTTCCGCCGTTAGCTCAGATGAAGCTCTCGGGCTCCTTCCCGACAGCCTGCCTGACCCCACGCTGCTGCCCCCTGGTCGGCCCCCGTGGCCCAGGGAGGCTGATCTGCTTACCTACTTCCCCTTTCCCCACCGATAACCTCCTTGTCTGTGTTTCCAGGCTCCTTCTCCGCGGAAGGTCCAGGTCCTGCTGCGCTGCCTGCGAGGAAGGGCGTGGGAAAGGGTGGGCCCGGTCATCCCCAGGGATGACCCGTGGACGTGGGTCGGGGCTCAGGACAAGACGGGTGGTCTTAGGCCTGGAAGGATCAGCTCTCCTCCTGGCACCTCCGCTGCTCTGTGAAAAGGGTGTTAGATGCCTCCAGACTTTAGGCGGTCCCGAGGATGGAGAAGGGAGGGCATGATGGACGGTGGGTGCAGGCGTTGCTCGTTGGGGGCGGAGTCCAAGGCCGACTGGAAATCCAGCCTGGCCACACCCCGTGTCCCAGGCCTGGAAGAAGGGCCGTCTGTGCCCTGGGATGCAAACCCCAGCCCTGGGGACGTGGCCAGGGCTTGGGGACGGGCAGGCCCCTTGGTGGGAGGTCTGTGTGCCGCGTGCCGTCGGCTCAGGTGGCTGAGTCAGCCGAGCGCGGCCCGCGGGCCGTGGACCAGCCACGCCGCTCACTACGCGCTCTCTCCCTCCTTCTCTGCAGCCGGACCAGCGCGCGGCCCCCAGCCCTCACCTGACCGTGTACACCGGGGCCCCCCTGCCCTCCTCTCCGTCCAGCCCCCGCTCCCCGCGCTGCCGCTCGCCGCGGAGGCCCTTCCCCTCGCCCGGCCGCTTCCTCCGGCGGCCCAGCAGCACCGTCTGCCCCTCGCCCATCAAGGTGGCCTTGGAGGGCTCCCCAGGCGAGGAGCCGGAGCGGGAGGCCGCCCGCGGGCGCTCAGGTGCTGAGACCAGCGGGGCCTCCGCGGACCAGCCCCGGCCCCGGGCCCTTCCCAAGGCCCGCGTGGCCCTGTCCCTCGGCCGGTTCCTGAGACGAGGCTGTTTGGCCTCCCCGGTCTTTGCCAGGCTCTCCCCCAGGTGCCCCCCTGTGCCCCACGGGAAGGTGCAGCCGCTGGGGGAGGCGGGCCGGCAGCTGCCACGACCAAGGTCCCGGAGAGCAGCCAAGTAAGGATGGAGGGGTGTGTGTGTGTGTGTGATGCAGGTGTGTGTGTGTGTGTGTGTGATGGAGGAGTGTGTGTGTGATATGGAGGGGTGTGTGTGTGTGTACGCGCGGGCGTGTCTGTGTGTGTCATGGAGGGGTGTGTGTGTGTGTGAGATGGAGGTGTGTGTGTGCACGCACGGGCGTGTGTGTGTGATGGAGGTGTGTGTGTGTGATGGAAGTGTGTGTGTGTGATGGAGGGTTGTGTGTGTGTGCGTGCACGTGTGGGCGTGTGTGTGTGTGATGGAGGGGTGTGTGTGTTTGTGATGGAGGTGTGTGTGTGTGATGGAGGTGTGTGTGTGTGTGTGTGAGATGGAGGTGTGTGTGTCTGTGTGTGTGTGTCTGTGTGTGCACGCGCGGGTGCGCGTGGATGTCTGGTGAGGACCGAGGCTCTGTGGTCTGGGGGCTGTGGGGGCTGGGTAAGGAGGATTCTGGGAGAACAGACACAACCCACAGGCCCATTAAACCCCTCGGCCTCCGGGTAGTTTCCAGACACTCAGTGCTGCCCTCTCCTGTCTTTCTGAGGAAAAGGAGAAGAGTGTCTTTCTTTTCCATCTTCTTTTCCCCTTTTTATACTCTTCCACCCACCCTGCTCCACCCCTAAGACGTTAATCTAATGAATCCATCGCATTTTTTAAAGGGCCGGAAAGCTCAGTGGCAGCAGTGGGACCCACAGGTGGTGTTGGGCCCCCGCACTCCCTCCCCTCCCCCACCCCCTCCTGCACACACCTGCCCGGTGGCTCAGAGGGGCTGCAGGGGTGCTGACAGTGTCCAGTCTCTGCGCAGGGGAGGCCCCTCTAAACCCCATCGTGGGTGCTGCTGTTCCCACCTCTGAGGACCCCCTGCCCCGAAGCAGCTCCTGGGTGCAGAACAGAGGCTCTGAGGGGCGCTTGATCACTCCCGGACCAGGGCAGAAAGAAAAGTTACAGACAATGCAAAACAAAGGATCAGCCCCCATCTTTATTTGGTTTTGGAGGGAGACAGCAGGTGCGGGGGCAACCTTGCACCAACCAACAGGCTCCTGCATTGGGCCCTGCCAGGTCTGGTTGAAAGAAGGCGCCTGCTGGGGTCCTAGGTTGCCATGGATACCCAAGTATCCGGCTTCGGCTGTGCACTGTGCATCCGGGGATGGGGGAGGGGAGGGGTCAGGATCCAGGGCGAACATATCTGTTGATTCCTCCCAACTGGCTCTGCTGAGGGACTGTTCTAGCTTTGTGGCCACAGCCAGGCCACACATACAGGCTTGGGGCTTTTAAAACCTCTGTTCTCAGTGGCCACCACTTCATGAGAAGGCAGTTTAAAGGGGCTGAGATTAAGTCCTGGCATGTTCTATAGGAACATCCTGAATTCATCAAAACCATAAAAACTCAAAAGCCCCTTGAAAATGAAAGTAAAGCATTTTCTGAATTATTCTTCATTCAGCAAGAAACTAGGAGCCTCCCTCCTTCCCCAATGAAAGGGATCCGCCCAGCCAGTCCCTGCACACACAGCCTTTGGCAAATGCACCTGTGTCCACACCCCTTCAGGGATGTCAGGGTGAGCTGGGGATTTGGTGACCTCCTATCCCCACCCACCTGCTTTCCTCTTGTGCCTGAAGCTTCTTCCAGATGAAAATGGATGTGTCTACGGGGAGCGGGACCTGCCTGGTGGACTCAGAGGACACGAGGACAGGAGAACGGAGTGACCAGGCCATAGAAAAGGAGGTCATCTGCCCCTGGGAGAGCCTGGCCGAGGGCAAAGCTAGCTGAGCCCGGGGCCTCGGGCTAGGCAGTCGCTCCTGCACACTCGGCTGGATGGGGCCGCGGGACATGCTTGCTCTAAACCAAAGTGCATTAAGATCGTATTTGGGGACTGGAGAGACAGGATGGATGGATGATGGAGAAGAGTGCTCTGGCAGGGCTCCCCCTGGCCAACCCCTTCCCTCGACCCTGACCCTTGGTCAGAAGAAAGGCATGTGGACCAGAGGACTTGACTTGCCGCCTTAAAACTGATAAAAGGTTACCTTGTCAAAGTGTTTTTGGATTGGAATGTTAGTGTGTGTCTGGTTTTATTAGCTATTTATGAGATAATCTCAAGTCGTCTTTGGTTTTCTGGACAAAGGGAACTGAATCACTTCAAAGAACTCCCTCCCTGTCTAAACTGGTTTTTATGTGATGCTCTCATCAACGGAGCCCACCCCGCCCCCCCCCCGGGAGGAAGTCCCAGGCTGTGGCATCACACAGGAAGAGGGGGCTGGGGAAAGGCATCCTTCTAGAATGCCAGGTGTGCTCCGATCCACCCAGAAGCAGAGGCCAAGATGGGATGAGGTGGGCAAGGGGATTGCTGGGGGAGACACCTGTGAAGGATGATGGGTGGAGGCTGGAGAACAGGGTGAGGACTCTCGGACCATGGTGGGGGGCTGACATCTGGGGAGGCGGTGGGCAGGGAGTCTCAGATGGCGGAGCATTTCCAAGAAAGTTTTGGCCAGGCTGCCCGGGTGTCCTTGAGCCTGTGTCTTGTGAGAATGGTTCTGCCTTAGGACCCCCACCAAGCAAGGTCATTGGCTGGGAGCCCCTGTGGGCAGCCTGGCCGTGGTGTGGACGTGCTGGGGACCCTCGGTCCATTTGCCCCCTGAGCGCACATTTTCACGTCCGCTGCACGAACGTAGGAGGCACTTCTGGAGGTTTGAGCCTCGGTGCGCCCCGCCCACCTCTTCTCCAGTTATTAACTCAACACGCCTTGATGGAGCCCCAACAAGCATTGACGGAGCGCCCCCTATGGGTGCAGTCTGCGCTGAGCCCTTGCGGACTCAGCTGTGACTTCTCAGTTCGTGGAATTCATCTAGAGCACCGGTTCTCAGCCAGGGTCCAGCTCTGCCTGCAGGGAACCTTGAGCAGGGCCTGGAGACATTTTCAGACGCCATGACTAGGGCGGGGAGTGATCCTGGCATCGAGTGGGCAGAGGCCAGGGACGCTGCTAAACATCCTACAGTGCACGGGGCAGCCCACACCCCATGACAGAAGACGTTCTGGTCTAAAATGTCAATGCCGCCGTGGAGAAGCCCTGGAATAGGAGTTACGGGTGACGCCCTGTGCTGCTCGACACTGTCATTGGTTTCTGCCCAAAGCCCTGAAGTGTTGCCCCAAAGGGTCCCGCTGGGCTCATACTTGGATTGGACAGTGGGTTGAGATTAAGGGTTACATGGTGAATAAAACATTTCTTAAAAGTTGCCTGGAAAGTCCTCGTAGGAAAAAAGATAGTGATTTGCCAAACGCTCATGCTCTCTTCACTTTTAATCCTCAGCTTCATCAGAATCCAATTAGCAGGTAGGAGCCCCTCACTTGCTTTTAACCTCAGACAACTTACCTTATTTAGCCCATAAGTACTGGGGCCGCTGAACCATCTCTCTGCACGCCTCTAAAGATGAATGCAGGTAGGTGTGTGCCCAAGACCTCGACTCACTGCCCCTGCAGGGAACACAGATGCTTCACCACTGAAAGAGTGTCTCATCTTAGATTCTACAGAATCCATTCTTCGGGGCTCACAAGAGTCCCTCGTCTAAGGGAAAGGAAACATTTCTCCCAGAGAGTAAGCGAAATCGGCCAGATCTTTCTTGGAAGGCGAGCAGGCCAATTAATTTGATGCCTTTACTTGCAAAGCTCGTCTACAGTGAGATTAAAGGCAAATCCATACCCCACCTGCAGCCAGTGTGTCTCGAAATCAGGAGGATTTCAACCCTGGACTTGCATACTTGTGTTAGGCGGCTGTACTCCTAGGTCCCCAGGGTCCCACGAAGAAACCAAGCCCACACGGCTCCCAGCATCAATTATGGGAGACTGGAGGATTCCCGGGTTGGACTAGGTGAGGTCCAGGCCAAAGAGCAGTAACAAAGAACCCTGGAAGGGAGGCAGTGGTTCACACGTGGAGGAGTTTCTGTCTCTGTCACATCCTTGCTCAAAGGCAGGAGGCGGCCCAGGTGAGTGGGCTCCAAGGAAGAGCAGAAATCCAGGGACCGAGGTGTTTTCACCTTGCTGCTCCACCCCACCCCCACCCCCGGCGCTGGTGTGATTATTCTCTGTCTTGTCTGGACATTAGAATCTTCTGGTCCAATCAAGTCAGAATCTGGAAGTGGAGCCCTGGCATCAGAGGGCTGTTTTAGAGCCTTTGCCCAGGTGATCCCAAGGTCCAGACAAGGTGGACAACCACGGCCCTGGGGTAGTGACTGACGCTGATTCACCACCCCCGTGTCCACGGTCATGCCTGGGAAGACAGTGGGAAGAGAGGAAGGAGAGGGTGTCATTTCCACCCACCTCCCATTGGCCTGTACTTGGTCACGTGGCCACACCTGGGTGCAAAGGAGGCTGGGAATTGTAGTCTTTCGTTAGTCCAGCTTGTGACTAGCTGAACTTCCGGAGGTTCTAATACGGGGAAGGAAGGTGGGGAGAACGGGTACTGGTGGACACATAGGCACTCCCACACTGGATGGTTACACTGGCTTGGCTGGGGGATGGGAAGATGGGAGGATGCAGGAGGTGGGGCAGGAGTGCTGATGAGTTTTTATGTAGCCAAATAGTTTGTAAATATTTATGAAATGCAGCCATGCTCTATCCCATGGTTGGGTGGCTTTTCATTCATTCAGATGGAATGCCTGTGAGGTGCCAAACACCACGAAAGGGGGTAGGAAAGCTGCTTACCTATGGAGCTCTGTTTTTGCCCAGAAGAAGGTGGGGAAGTGGGTCTGTGGGTCCTTGGTGGATCGTAGGGTTGTGAGATGCTTGAGCTCCCCCTGCCCCTTTCCAACTTGGGACGGCTCCTTGATTTCTGTGAACCCAAGGTCATCATTTGACCTTCTTCCTAGGGTTATTTGGAGATACATAAAATGAGGTGATACATATGTAACTTTTTGTCTGTTCAGAACTTTATAGGGTGCAAGAAGAAAACAACTGTATTTCCCCCCCAACACACACACACACCCCATTCTCCCTTTAAACCTACACTGTGCATTCTTTCTTTTCCTAACCCTGAATGAAAGCTTTGGCGAGTCCCGTATCTTTTCTGGTCCCTTTCAGAAAACAAATACTCCAAGCACTGTCGGTGACAAAAGCCATCTCGATCTAATTCCATTTGCAGTTCAAACGTTAGCATAATGAGCAAACTCAGCACTTCGTCCAGAGGTCCAGCTCCTTCCTTCCTGCAGCCTCTGCGCCGCTCCGGGCTGGGCCGCCTGTGGTGCCCGGGCTGCGGAGACAGGGGTCAGCTTCTTCCCTCTTGTCTGCCCTGCGCTTCTTTTCCTCCTTTCCCACTCACTGTGGAGCCTCTGGCCCCTGGAGCGGGGAGGTGGGAGAACAGGGAAGCACTTAGTTGACTGACACAGAAACCACCCGTCCCGCCGACTCTTACTTGGGTGGGGGGTTTCCTCGGTCCTTGAGGGCTTTCTGGCTTCGGCTTCCATAGGCAGAAGGGACCACGAGTCCCCTTGCTGGTTGCATGAGGACCTCTCTGGGCCCTTGAGCGTCCCCTCGTCCACATCTTAGTTGTGGTCACATCTCTGGTTGCCTGGGGCGAGATTCAAATGGCTGCAGCCACTCCCTTCAGTGCAGCCCCTCCGATGCCAGCATCCTTTTGCCCTAAAAGGGCACCTGATCCTCCCTCCGTCCCCTCTGCTTCGTGGCCTCAACTGACCTTCACTTTCCTCCTGTCCTGCCCTTCTCACTCTGGAGCACAGCCAAGCCCCTGTGACACCCCCTCACTTAACTGAAGAGAGGGCACAACCGCTCTTCCCCAACAGGCTGGACTGCAAGGATGCCTTTTGGTCCACCAGGTGGGCACACCTGTCCAGCACCTTGTCTGGACCTGGGCGAGTGGTGGGCACCTACCGGTTTATTCTCAGTCTTTGGGGCCACAGCAGAAACAGAGACAGAATCCCGTTACCTTTGTCAGAGTTTTGGGAATGTGCTTATTTTCCTCCTTTTGACAATTGACCACCAGGGCCATTTCTCCAGGAGTCCTCAGGCGTTCATCCCTTGGCCCTCTGGGGAGGGGACCATCAGTGGCCCCCTGGAGGCTGTGAAGTCGTTTATCCTTAGAGGAGACAATGCTGCCCGTTGCTAGTTTTAGGAAACGGAAGACGGACCGTGACATCTGCATCAGCCGAGGGCTCTGGGGTCCCAGGGTGCAGAGAAGGCAAGCTGGGGGGTCTGTGTGTCTGGTGACACGGGGCCTCCCTCCCTCAGCCTCAGAGGCCCCGCCCTTCGCTCTGGGGACAGTTCCCTCCCCACACTTCACCAGAAGGGGGCGTCCCAGGCTCATGGCTCCCCAAAGAGAGGCGGCTGGGCTTTCCCCTTAGGGATTCAGGGACCTGTTGTGGAGAAAGTCCTTTGCTTGTTGGAAAGCCGGATTGGGGTGGCGTGGGGAGCAGAGGGGACTGGGCTTCCCCACGCACCCCGTCCTCAGCCCCAGAACCCCCGGAGCCGGCGAGGTGGGAGCTGATGGTGGCTGGGGGGTGGGGGGTGGGTCGCCGCACGGTCTCCTGGCTGCTGTGCCCTGAGGGGATGAGGGGCCTGTGACCTGTTTCTAGAGGCTTCGGATAAGTGTTGAGACTCTGCCGAAAACCTCGTGCAGAAAGAAAACTCCCTCCCTGGCCTGTGGACCACGCCAAGAGAATTCCTCCCTTTGAGGGTCATCTCTCTGTGTCCAGCTCCAACTCCTGGCACCGCAACCTGATTAAGCCCCCTTCATCTCCCCCTCCTCAGCCTGAGTGATTCGTCAGCTCCTCCGTTGAGCAGGTGAGGTTGGAGGCTGGGGCATCCGGAGGCGCCTAGCGCGGGGTGATGTACAGGGGGAATAAATGGTGTCAGAAAACAAGTTTTTCCACTTCTGGTGGGAGGGCGCTGTATGGCCACACGTTGAGGACGAATGCCTCTGTCTTCCTTCAATTCTTTCCCTTCCATCCCTCATTATTTAATTAATTTATTATTATTATTATTTTTATTTCTTGTGGCACGCGGGCTCAGTAGTTGTGTTACGTGGGCTCTAGAGCGCAGGCTCAGTAGTTGTGGCGCACAGGCTTAGTTGTTCCGCGGCATGCAGGATCCTCCCGGACCAGGGATCGAACCCGTGTCCCCTGCATTGGCAGGCGGATTCTTAACCACTGCCCCACCAGGGAAGTCCCTGCCTCTGTCTTCCTGATACCAAATGTTTAGGGAGAGGGGGCACTGCGTGTGAGACAGTGTGCTGGGGTCCAGTGAGATTCAACTGACATGACCAAGCCCATGCTCTGGGCTGGTCCTGGGCAGAATTCCTGCAGGACTCTGCTCAGAACCTTGAGAAAGAAATCCTTTCTCCATCTTCTAACCGGCTCTTCTTCCTCAACCCGTAGGCAGCCACCAAGCTGTGTTGTCCTGAAGGTCCCTGTCTTGGGGAATTAGGGATTTGGACAACCACGGCTTCCAGGCTTACATTGAAAGAGTCCCTCCATGAATTCCTGCTTCATTTCATTCTCACTACAGCGCTGTGGGGGGAGAGCATCTCTACCTTCATTCTGCAGGTGTGATTTCCCCAGTTGTAACAGGTAGAAGCACTCCAATGGAATCTAATGCACCTTATTTTCTTTGTGGGTGTGTTCATTAAAATTCAATTTTGGAATTAAAAAATCCATAAAATACAATGAATACCATGACCAACAGCCATATGCACATCACCTCGAATTAACTCATGTTAACATTTCGCCCAGATTACTTCTAATACTTAATAAAGAAGCAAAACAATATTTCTATACTCCTCCCTGCATCCATCCTCCCTTCCATCTTGTCAGCAAAAATGAACAGACAATAAAGATATGAATGGATGCTTAACATCACTAATCTTTATGTAAATGCAAGTTCAAACCACAACGAGGTGCCACCTCACCTCTGTTAGGAGGGCTACGATCAAAAACCCCGGACAACAACAAGTGTTGGCAAGGATGTGGAGAAACTGGAGCCCTTGTGTATTGTTGGTGGAACATAAAGTGGTGCAGCCGCTCTGGAAAACAGTAGGGTTGTTCCTCAAAAAATCAAAAACAGAAATGCCATATGATCCAGCAATTCAATTTCTTGGTCTATACCCCAAAGAACTGAGATCATGGATTTGGACAGATATTTGCATATTCATGCTCATAGAAGCTTTATCCACAAGACCCAAAAGGTGGAAACAACTCAAGTG